ACTGGCTGGCGCGATGACTGCCCGCTCCGCCACCATCAACATTATCGCGTGGTGGAGAAGGAGGTCGCTCGATCCCTGGTTGATTTCATGAACGGTCGCCAGCTTTTATGTGTTGTTTCCGACTGTGTTTATGGTGAGTACTGGGTCGCTTGCGGTCGGAGTTCGCGCTCTCATGTCCTTCCGCGACAAGCTCATTCTAAAGCCGCGACAAATCCGAAGACTAAGCTGTTGCATCGCGACATCAGCGGTGGCAACATCCTCATACTACCCAAGGTGTCCAAAGAGGAAGATGGCACCCGTGCCTTGAAATGGACGGGCATCCTCGTTGACTGGGAAATGTCCAAGCCCTTGCAGAATACCGCGTCCAGACCCCGTCAGCCAGAGCGCACTGTAAGTCTACGTGGATCCCTACATACGTCGAAGCTGACGGCGCCTCTAGATTACTTGGCAGTTCCTCTCAGTCGCACTCCTATCTCGCCCCAAGATCGTAGAGATCTGCGACGAACTTGAGAGCTTCCTCTACGTCATCATCTACTATGCGGTTCGGTACCTCAGGTCGAACCTCGATGGGCACGCCGTGGGAAACTGGATTGACACCTTCTTCGATTTGTATGGCGTCACCGATTCCGCCTACACTTGTGGGCAGGTCAAAATCGATACTATCAAGCGGGGCACCCTCATACTCTCCGACGACGAGGACCTCGAGTTCCACAGTCCCATAGATGAACTCCTGTCAAAGCTCCTGATGTGGTTCCGCGCCCACTACATTGTCACGAAACACAAGCGTCGGCAGGATCAGGAGAAAGCTTTGCGCTACAACGCTGCCCTGCCCCCGGATGGTGTTCCCCTCGGGAAGGCGAGGAAGCCTCGGCGTGATGGCTCAGAGATGACCAATAGAGAAGACCGCAGCAAGCACGAACTTGTCGACTTTTCAAAGCCCACCGAGATGGAATACAAGTACGCAGAGTATGTGCTCGAGCACACGCGGATGATGAATCTCCTCGACGATATCGCGTACGAGCGGGAATGGCTGTCAGGTGACAGGACACCTGATCGTATCCCCTCAGATTGGGCGGCCCCTGTGAGGCCGGAGGGCCCTACGGTCCCGGCTTCGTTTGCCAGTAACCTGCACAAAAAGCCGAAGATTAGCAGAGAGGACGGTATGGTGACGATGCCTCCCTTCCCGTTCGCGCACGCGAACAGTACTATACCCAAGACCCCAGAGAAGAAGCGTGTCTCCCGGGCATGAAGTGGTGATGATCGTTTCAACGAGGTGTATGTCCTCTGAATGTACTATACTCTTGAGTTTCGCTTCCCTTACGTCTCCCTACCATCCGTGTCTGATTGCATACTAGCACTGACCTGTATATCTGTCGGATCCTTGAGTTATGCTTCTGTTCCATTTCCGCTACTTAGTTCCACACTTTGCACCACTAGAATCCTACTATGCATTGCATCAGCCATTTCGTGGATTGCAGAACTCGTGGTGTGCGCTTCAAGTTGTCCTACAATCAGGCTGGTTTTAGTACAGGTAAACTTAGAAGTACGGGGATCACCTCTCGTCTGCTGGTATTCACTGGCCCGCTACGGGTTACAGCAGCCTTCTGTCTGCTTCATTCTCTCCATGTTTCTCTAATGCGACCACACATGAAGTGCCTCTGCGAACGATGAACGTCCGTGGTTTCAGCGCCGGTTGTGAGCGCAAGCGAGCCTTGTGTCGCCGAAAATGGTATCACAACTTGAACTCGGACGGCCACTATCACTTTGCTTTGTCGGTCTTGGGGCACAAGCCACTCTTCTATAGGACTCGGAGCATTGCGCTCAGCATTCTCTATCGCCTTTGGGCACGCGTACCTACTATCAACCACCACCAGTCTAAAATCCCTGCTCTCTCCATCTTTGTAAGTCATGTCGCTGCTCCGTTTCGCCCATCGTGACTGACCGGCTGCAGTAAACTCAGAAGCTTCTCTCTCTAAGGCTCGCACCAGGTTCCGAGTACACTACTCCTTTCAAGGAGAAAAGGTCGAGGACACCTGCCACAGCAGCGTATCGTATCTGCCGACGACATGGCCCATAACGGAGTCCCTGCGGAACTCATCGAGTTCTGTGATGAGTTATTTCCTCAACCGACACAAATCGCCACTGTCAAGCCGAAACCCACGTTGGATGATAATCCATTCGCCGCTCTCAAGGACGCAGAGAAGCTGTCGGAGGAGACTGCTCGAGCCGCATTTGTGAGTTATTCCTGACAGTACTGTTGGTTAACAACATTGACAGTTGTTGTGGTGTCAGGCCGCTGCTATCAATGTCCACGGTCTTGCTCCAGGATTCAAGGTGGCCGAGTGCGGAGACCGGCCGGATCCCGCCACCATCGATCCCGAAAGGAAGAAGATCGATGTGGCCTTCTACCGTGTTGATGACGTCCAGGACGATGGTCGACAGCGTTGGGCTGATCAAGTCCTACCCGTCGCATTCAAGTGCGACGATGTCTCCTTGGACCCCTTCGACGACAACGAAGGGACTATGTGCACTCCCACTATGACTCACAGGGCCATCCGCGGGCAGATCATGTCGCACGCTGAGCTAATTTTTTGCTGTCCAGCAGCGCGTGGCTCTCTTCACGCTCGTCGTTCTCGGTAATCGGATCCGCTTCGTCCTCTGGGACCGTTCTGGTACGGTGGTTACGAGAGCCTTCGACTATATCCAGAACTGGGAAGTCTTCTGCGACATCCTGTGGCGTATCGGAAACTGTACGATGACGCAGCTCGGATTCGACCCCAGCGCGACCCGACTGCACCCTGGACAAACGGAGTACGCCCTGATGGATGCCACTGCCGACAACGTCGAGGGTGACTTCGACGAGACAGAACGCGTCATCTCGGGACCGAAGCTCCCAGATGGACATTTCAAGTACGTCAGGGAGATGTTCAAAAAGTCTCTGGTCGATGGCTGGCCGCGTTATAGGCTGGAGGTACCGGCTCTGGTCGAGGCAGCTGCGACTGCAACGACCGCCACTCCTGCGCATCACTCGGATTCGCCTCCAAAAGTCGACCGGTCGGCACGCAAGTTCCTCGTGTGCAAGCCTGAATTCCGGGCCTGTGGCATAGCAGGACGTGGGACACGGGGTTACGTCGCTCTTGACTGTGCGACGATACGGTTTGTGTGGCTCAAGGACGCGTGGCGTGCGAACTACGAGAAGATGGATCAGGAGGGCGTGATGCTCGGTTCGCTCAACTCTGCAGAAGTTTCATACGTGCCGACGCTTCTTTGTCATGGAGATATCCTGCAGCAGACGACGGCGACCCCTGACTGGTGGGAACGCAAGAACCCACTGCGCTCTCCGACCTCCTCCTCAGGTACCGCTTCTTCGCATACGCTGGTCGTGCCTTTGAGGTCTGGGATTCTGAAGAGAAAACGGGCTGAAGAATCGTGCGGCGACCCACCAGCGCCACCACATAACACCGACGGGGATTCCGACGAAGGGGAAGATTGGCGCACCGATTGCCCTCTACGTTTGCACATGCACTATCGTGTCGCGATGAAGGAGGTTGCCATGCCCCTTAGCAAGTTCAGGCATGATCGTCAGCTGGTCGGCATCTTCTACGACTGTCTACATGGTAAGTGGGTGGATGTTTGTTGTGACTCGGGATTGACTTTGAGAATATCTGTGTAGCCCACAAGAGCGCTGTCGAGCGCACGAAACTCGTCCATCGTGATGTCAGTCCTGGAAATATCCTGATCTATCCGAAGGTGATCAAGATGCGTGGCAAATACTGGCTAAGGTGGTCTGGATTGCTGGCTGACTGGGAGCTGTCGAGAGCGGTTCATGAGCCCGGAACGTCGAGGTTGCCTCGCCAGCCAGAGCGCATGGTACGTGTTCATTCCCAAAATGTCTATAGACAGATGACTGACTTGATGGAACCCAGGGCACCTGGCAGTTCATGTCTGTCGCTGTGCTCTCATACGGTCTGAAGATCGTTGGAGTCGCGGACGAACTCGAGTCGTTCTTCCACGTGCTGTTGTACGCTGCCGTCCGGTATCTGAAGGTACAGAACTGCGACCGTCCCACGATCGCCAACTACCTCTACACCTACTTCGACCTCCACGGTGTCGACGATGAGGTGTACGTCTGTGGGGACAAGAAACGCGAGACGGTCACCGAAGGCCGACTGACCGTCAGCTTCAACAAGAAGCTGCAGTTTGACAGTCCTCTGGACATCTTGTTCTCTCAGCTGTTGTCGGGGTTAAGGCGCGCTACGCTGTACTCGCAAAGGAAGTCAAGGCGACGCCTGCTATCTCACCTCTGGAATCCGAGACACCAGCTCCTTCCAACGACAATGGGCCCCTGCTAGACGAGATGGATCTCATGGACAGCGACGCGGACGATTCCGAGTCAGATGGATTTTCCGATGATAACGAGGAGCTGGATGTTTCTCCCCAGACT